ATAGCATGAGAGCATTTGCCACATTTTGCTTGTCCTCAGGGGCTGTTCTCCCTGTGTACACACCCAGCAATCAGAGCTGCCTTAGATGTCAGCATCCAAACACTACTGAAACACCATCCCTGCATAAACTGCAGCAGCCCTCCTTCTCCAAAAAGGAGCAAAATAAGGGCATTTTAATGACATCTCACTTGGTAACTGAGGCAGGTGAATGAAACTGTCAGCTTCAGAAAGTGTAAGAGTAAACCTGTAATTAAGTTACAAATGAGGAGAAGGCTATAGCTGACCAAGAAAGTACTAAGATACCTCCAGTCAAGAGTGCTCGTATTTTGTACCTTGGCTTGCATTTTCTGACATCATGAAACATTCTAAAGACTACTCTCCAAAAATGGTTTCCCAATCAAAAAAAAACCCTGGAGTGGATAATCTACTTTTTGGCCCTCATCTGATAAATTTGTGCTGTGCTTTCCAAGGATAACAGTCTGTACTGCTACCCTTAGATCTCCCTTTTCTTCATGACAGAAAATGTGGTAATTTGGGAGCACTGTAAAGCAGTTCAAACAGCTGCTTCTCCTCAGATAAGATATTTGGGTGTTCATACTACCTCAGTCTGCCAACCGAGCTATTTCAACAGGCTTTCATGAGCTGTTTGTCACATCCTTCAAAGATCTTTTTCCTGCAGTTGCAATGAGACTTAATAAAAAGGCCCTCTGAAGGAGACTTACTGTGTTCTTTCCGATTTCTACTTTTTTGGGCAAAACAAACATAAGATAGGACTTTCTCTCCTTGGCTTGCTTTACGTCAGTACAAGACGGAAGCACATAAGAAAAACAAATTCTTTTTCAATTTCAGTGCTTGGCTCAAAATCAAAAATCATTAGTTTAAAGCAGTGGCTTGGAGAAGAGGAAACATCTTGGGGCCAACAATATTTTTTATCAGTCACTGAGCATCCATTAATCATTAAGATATTCCAAAGTATTTTGTCCCTGTCCAACCTGCATTTGTTTCAAGGCAGTGGTTAGCTCTGACTGTGATTATATATAATCACCTTCATGTACACACAGACCTAAGATGAATGCAGGAAAAAAAATTTTAAAAAACCCAAACACAACAAAAAATCCCCTCCATGCAAAGTGGAACTCAAAGAACATTTTTCACAAGGGCCCAGGGCAGCACTGAACAGAGGGGAGATTCAGATTATTTGAACTCTCAGGTGAAAAGCACCAATACAACAACGTCACAAGTTAAACACAAACTTTTTGAGAAAATTGAGCAAGTGCTCCTCAGCAGCACATGTACTGAGGTGCCAAACTGCAAATAGTGCATTTTCAAAGCTTTCATTCCCACCAGATTTCTGAATGCTTGATCTAGCTATATTCTTTTGGCACTTAATGTCCCAGGAAAACATGCCACAGCGCAGTTATTCAGCAGTGCAAAGTCACTTGGGGCAATGATGAGAAGATAAAAATTATTTAATTAACAGCTAAACGTTTTAAATTGTGCTACCCATTTGTTTCAGCAAATGTGCTCTTGCACATGCTGTTCAGTTCCATCACCACAGGTTTGGGATGGCTGCTGTGCAGGAGTTGCAGAGATTGTTGCTCAGTTTTAACAGCTTCCTTCACACAGCTGACAAGCTTCTGAACCTGAACTTTTAGACCAAATGTGGTCAGAATTGACAGAATTTGTCAGAATTGACAAGCAGAAGAGTATCATTATGTGGCTCTCTGGCCAGGGTCACCAGAAAGGCCACTGTGGGTGTAATTTTTGCCTTGTGGGCTGTTGGTCAGTATTCCCTATGCTGTTTGGAACAAGTCAGCAAGTTGCCAGCTGTGCAACAGAGGTGTTCACTTGTACAGCTGAACACTCTACTCGTCATTGCAGCCTTCCTGCAGAGGGCATGGCCATTGTGCAGGGACACCAGAAGGACACAGTTCTGTCTGCACCATTATGAAGGTAATAGCAATGCACAGGTCTGTACATTATGAGCTAAAAGACACAGGAAGTTCAGATCCCATGACCAAAGTTCAAGCTGCACTGAGGTCGTATCTTGTGAAATGCATACTTGGATTCACACCCTTCCTTAAACTCAAGTCATTAGGAAAAAAAGAGGAAATAGATGTGTAGTAAACAGTATATGTTATTTGACACCCTAACAGCCTGCAAAGACTTATACTGAGTATCACTAATTCCAAATGGTAAAGGGACAAGATAAGACAAAAGAAGAAATAGCAATTGCAAAGAGAAAAAAATTGATGCTGCAATGATTACAGTGCCAGTGTATTTTTCAGTGTCGCTGTGTCACAACACAGCACCAAGCAAATAAAGGAATATCTCCCAATCTAAAATGACCTTCAAAGGAGATTGTTTATAAAAAGAAATTTTGCAATGCAAAGAAATACAATCAGCATACGGCAGGATAGCACACCACAGCAAAGCTGACTTAACAACATGGTCAAAGAGATGCTGGCAGGTAAGATTTCTACCTCAGTCTCAGCAAGATAGAGTGGGTCCTCTAACTCAGTGTCCTCTGATGAATCTCAGCACCAGACCCCTCTGTCTCCACAAGCCTAACCATTACCCATTTCAACAAGCAAGAGCAAACATGCCCATGTCCAGTGAGACCTGCTCAAAGAATACCTATAAATCACTGCTTTTAAATGAAACTCTGGATTTTAGTTGTGTTTCCCGTTTATGTTTGTATAGTTTAAGAACTAGTGTCAAGTGAAGTGTGATGGAACAGCAGAAAAGTGAGGCAGGGGAGGCTTTTTGCTGGTATTAGGTTGGAAAACATCTTCAAGTATCTTAGCTCCCCTTGCAATCTCTTTCCCTTTTTATGAGTTCACAACTGCAATCAGATCCTGACCAAATAATACCCAATGAAAAAACTTATCATCGTGATGACTTTTGTTACACATTCTTGTTTACAACCCCTTTTTTCTTGTTTGGTTTGGGGAGGGGATTTTTTGGTTTGTTTGGGGCTTTTTAGGTTTTTTCTTTCTTTTTTGGGAGGTTTTTGTTTGTTTTTACTAATAAAGTTTTCATGCACTGCACTGTAAAAAGCACTCCCACAGTAACTATCTGCCCTCCAACACTCCACCCCAATGAGCTCCCCTCTCCTCAAGTGACCTGCACAACAGGGTGCCTCTCCACCTGACAAGTGGAACTCGCTGTCCCAAACAAAAGCCCTTGAAGATCAAAACAAGCTTTTCTGCTGACATGGCAAAAGTTTAGGCTAAACAGGAAAACATACTTGAAGCTCTTTTTCCATTACCTTGCATTATTAAACCATCTAGGCAAGAGATAAACATAAAAGGAATTTCTTTAATTAGATAAATCAACTCCTCAGCATCTGTTGTTTAATGAAGTAAAGCAGATCAGCATGTTAGAATCAGATAATATTGAAGTCTCCCACAAACTCACAGCTGAAGCTTCTTTTTCATGCAAGCTTTTGGGTGCCACTGGTTTTACTTACAGTAATACAACATTTCCAGTTAAATGCTCGCTGTAAAATTTAATGCCAGGTACACAATGGGCCACAACAAGTGAAATTCCTTAAAATGATTATGCATCATCTCACAAGTTAGAACAAGGCAGAACAGATGCACAGGGTGATCTTGCACAATATATTTCCCTGAAGTTCTATACCATGCATTCATTTTTAATAAAACTCAAATCAATTAAAGATTGTGTTTCTTGTAACTAAAGTCTAAAAAAAATTCTTTAACATAAGCAAAATCCACTGCCTTTTGCTTTTCAGCATCATTTCTTAATTGACTCTCTAAGATAATCTCTCAAAGGTCACAAACCTCTACAAAAAGCTAAGTTAATGAGAATATATTCTTAGCCTCTCTCTACTACAAACCAAATCCACTGAGGGACAAATTCATCTTACAGCTTAAAACCAAACACTGTAAGATCGTAACTTTCAATTATGTTTGATCTTGTATGCAGTCAGATAATGGCATTTTTATTACAGTCATAAAAAAAAATGTTAAGGATGTGCCAGGAAGATGTTAACACCCATCTACTTTGACATTAAGAAAACCTAATTCAAATCAAATTTTGGAATTTTTAAAAATCAAATGCAAACATATTTTGGCAAAGCAATAAATCTTTCTAAGCAGCATTGGACAAACCAGTGCAGGCAAAAACCGGTGCAGTCCAGGTGAACAACATTGCCAAAGCATTCCCAATCCATCTGGGCTAGGATCTGCCTCTCCTGTGCAGAGATTGCCACTCGGCTGCAGCATGGACCCTGAGCTTCTGAGCTTAAAGCAGTGAGGCACCGTGGGGTTCATCTGCACATCTGTACTCTGAAGCACATCCAAAACACATCTGGGCTTTTCAGGAGCGCTGCACTAAGGCAGCTGCAACATGCAGCACTTAGTCATTACAGAGGGTTCAAGGCAGCTTAAGTAAAGTGACACTCCAAGACTGACAACTTTCTTCATCTGTCAAGGCACCTGCCAGCTGCAAGTAAAGAGTTACCACTGAGCAGTGGAAGTACAAGTCCTCTTCAGACCAGGTAAGCTGAGCTCAGAAATAAAACTTACATCCTAAGAAGACACACAAGAATCTGCTTTAGTAAAAATCAAATGCAATTATTAAAAAAAACCCCTTCACCTGCAATGAATGAGTTTAGCTCTTTTTTGTATCAAAAACTGGAAAATACTTAGAATGATTACCACACACTTCTTTGGGAATCACAGAGTTCCTAATGTTTCATGGCTTTACTGAGCAGATCCACCTAATTTTAACGTACAGACAACTCTAACCTGCCCCCACCAAATGCACGCACTATTAAAGCAAACCTAATAAGTTGCAGAAGAAAACAAGTGAAATAAGCTGCACATTTCCTACACTGTGATCCTCTGTTCTTTTTGAGCCCAAAGACATGGCCATTATTTCATGTACGCTGTCACTAGGAAGGAAAATAAAGGCTTTGTTTTCACATTATTTTAATGATGAAGTTTCAAAAGAGGATGCAGGCTCCTTCTTACCCATTCAGCGTGTATGACCCATTCCTCCTGAGTCTCATACTTGCAGATAAGAATCTTAGGAAAAAGTCCAGAATGAGGTGGTTTGTCCTCTGCAGCACCAGAATACAGGCACCTGTTTGGTGGTTGTGCTTTTTGTTCACCAGGGATCTCTTTCCTGTTTCTCTGAGTCATCAGTGGGGAACAATGCGAAACCACCACCAGAGCCACTGAGCAGGAAGCCCAGAGGAAACTGCCTGCAGCCAAACAGGAGTCTGGAGGTGTAAAATCTCCCCAATGCACCTCTCAAAAAACCTTGGAGCTCACTAAGGAAAAGCAGCAAAAACTCACAGAGAAGGAGCTGCTTATAAAGTACCTAAAGCTCTCCCTGCACACACAAGAATAAATTTTGTAGAAAGCTGCAGTTTATCAGTGAGCTTCTCTTGTTCTGAATAGCCTGAAAGCAGCTTCAGATCTATTCCCTCCTGCCCACCAGCCCTGCTTGCAACTATTACTCAAGCACTACCCTCAGAGCACAAGGCAACTAAACAAGAAGCCTTAGATAACTAATACTCAGCCTTTTTTCGTTTGGTTTGGTTTTTTTTCCCTCCCCCCCAGTATCAAGACAGAAATTACACATGTGGAAAGGGACATACGATTAGTGGTTAAAAAGCTTCTTTTCCTTGTAGTAGGTTAAAACCAGGTAGATCTAAAGTCACGCTCGAATGCTGCAGGGAAAAATATCTTCTAGCAGTCCAGTGCTGGGCAAGGTGCCCTGCATAAATCACAGGATTGCACTGTCTCTGATGAGGCTGTTTTCCTCCCCTTTCTGTTCACCCCGCATTCCCTGATAGCTGTGAACCAAACACAGCTTAATGTCTGGTGAGTCTACCACACAATGCAAAAATCACTCCAGGTTGCTGTTTATCATTTACTGTCTGTGAGCAGATCAAAACCAACTTAGGTAACAAATCACACGAAAAATATTTTATCAACTGATGTTGAAATGACCATCGCTTGTGGCCCAGGTGAAACTGCTTTAGGATAATAGGAAAACTGCACACTAGACAAATATAAAGATTAAATACTCACTACCTAAAAAAACCAAAAGCAGTCAATCCCATAGAGTAAAACATTATTCTTATTTGAATGGCTCAAATGTCTAAAGACAGTATGCTTGTCAAGCTGCATTTTTATTTTAAGACGTTTACCAGTTATAGAAAACCAGCCAAAAAAAGGGAGAATTACTTTATTCTTTGTAGGTGGTCCATTATACAGTTAGATGTAATCAAGAATACCTATAGAGGGACTCCAGATCACTAATATTGAGAGAAAAAGAGTTACACCGAATTACAGGCTGAGGAAATCAACGCAGTCGTGCTGCTGCAATGAGACTGAGCTGTACAAACATGCTGCATCTGCAGGACAGAAATTCTCAGCATCTATCTGGCCTCACTGGGAGCACTGTGCTCAACCCATGGCACCCCAGCTGAAGGCAGATACTGAATTAGCTGGAGCCCAGAGAGCATCAAGAAGATGATCTGTCTTACAGATGTGAAAACTGAGGGAGCAAAACAACACCTCCCAAGAACGCAAAGAGAAAGAAAACAAAATGTTCTTCCTGCTCTGTCCATCACAAAGGCATTTGAATTAAGCAAGAAACACACCAGGTTAGGATTATTTTGCTTGGTTTCTGTGTGCATTTGGGTTTCAAGTACAGGAATAGATTTCAGAGTCTGCATTATTGCAGGCCTTTGAGATGATCTTGCTCCAGAGCTGGGGACAGACTTGGTGACTCTACAGATCTCTGATCCCTACCTCTCTACGATTTGTTCCCAGTTCTAGCTGGTAGAAAAAAATGAAAATCATGCTGTGTAACCGTGACACAAACTAGCTCGAGTCAAACCAGACTACAGGATGCTTTAGGATTTCCTCCTCAAAATAAGACAGAGTTGCCAGGACTCCAAATAGGTCCAATACATTATGAGCACAGTGGTGCCAGCACTGTGTTTTGATCATCATATACATTCTGGGAGAGAATGATACCTCATGTTCTTCTCAGCTTTACAAAGTTCCTACCTATGTACTGGCTGGCACCAGGGCACAGTTATTCCAGTTGCTATGGTCAGGCCCTGCTGTCAGCTACCTACCAGTGCTGAGTAAAGCACAGACACATTCTTGGAAGCTTCTCAAAGTAAACTAGGATGATTTATTTGGCTAATAATTTAGAGAATAAAAAAAAATAAAGTTAATAAGTCAAAAATGCTACGTAAAGATCATTTCTAAATGCTCTGCAAACCCATCTCAAATGAAAACTTGTACTCAGTTTTCTTCTTGGAACTCGAGATTTTAGAGAAGTCACCTTAAATCCAGGCTCAGAGTAAAATCCAGGCTCTGGAATGTTTGCAGCTTTACTGGAAATAAAAGATACAGTGTAACTGAATCACATATGACACTAGGCATCTACTAATTTGCATTGGAGGTGCACCAGCAGTATGGAACATGGGAGCTGTCATGAGGTGGTATCTGATAATTATTACTTAACAGCAATTGACTGCTATTCTAAACTAGAGAATCATACTTTTGTGGTAATAATAAAAAAAAAGGCAGACTGTCCCACAGGTTTTTTTAAGTGCCTTTCTGGATACAAAATTTAAGTGATTTACCCATTAATTTTCTGAGTATTTTGCTTTCACTGGCTACCTAATTTTTTAAAAATTAATTTCAGAGTTCTGCTGCTAAAAGCAGCTGCTGGTTTTTTTTGAAACTCTGCTTCTGCAGAAAGACATCAATTCCTTTTTTTCTTTTTCACTCCCCCATGCTCTTTTAGGATTACAGCAGCACAAGGGTATGTGTTCTTTAACATCTCCATCTGAAAACTATTATAGGAAGCCAGCAACTAAATATAAACTGTCCAATCAGAGCCAGAGTCAGCCACATCGATGCTGGAATCCCAAAATGCTATCATGGACAAAAGAACTTACCACAGAAACACAGCTAAGCCTCCTTGCCAACACAACCGCTTCAGAAACAATAAATTCCTGCTTCAGAGAGGTCTGCTGGAGAAAAGTGTTTTGTTAACAGAGATTAAAAAGCCTCTTATTTTCAGTCAACATAAAGATGATAAACTCACTGAATAGGCAACTCCATGGTGAGGCAATGTGCTATAGACGTTATCTCCTACAGTATTTTCAATGAGCTGTACCTAAAGAAATCCTCTTCTCCTCTCTCCCCCTACACGTACACATTCCAGAGACCATACACAAGCTGAATCATCCTCACTGTGGTGAAGGCACATGGGAGAAGGGAAAACATCTTTATGTCTCCTTAAGATCCCTGCTGACAAATAAAGTGTTTGTACAGCCCACTTCTCTTTTATTCCCTTTACCAAGCAGAATCCATAAACTTTAGCATAGATTTTTTGTTCCCAGGCTAAACATTCATCCAATTACTGCTCTGCTTCCAAGGGGAATTTCAACAGTACCATTTGGCCTAGTTATTCTGGACATTAGCTCAAGGAGCAGTTCTTTAGATAACATAAATTAGCATGGATGATTTACCATTTTCAACCATGTCCCTGCCACTTTGAACTTTGAAAACACCATTAAAAGATCTATTTCAATTCCTATTAAATAAATTCCCATTTAATAAGGAAATGTACATGCTAAGTAAAAGGCTGAGTACAGAAGAGAATAGCCAGTCCTCCACTACTTGGACAGACTTACAGTACACTCAGAGCTTAATGATTCATCCAGGGGGAGCTTTGCATATGAATGAAACATCTTTCTACATTTAAAAAGAAATACTCACTAGCAACCTCAGTTCTCCACATCTGGTCAGGAAAGAGAGGAGACAGAGTGCCCATATGTACCCTATTTGCCAGAGCCACGGTTTTCACAAGTGTTAAAAAGTTACTCCTAGAGTATATTTATTGTTATTTTATAGGTGTATTGTTGATCCCCTTTTGAAAAATCTATTTGAATTAATATATATGACTACTGAAGAAACAATTTACTCTCTTTCTCCTGGAAAATATCCACTAACTTAATGCTTAACCTTGTTTTCTACTGTCTTGCATCATAACTTGTATTTAAGGACTGTCCAAGTTAATTCCCAAGATAATCAATGAAATACTGAACTGTTACAACAAGCAAATTTAAGGCTGCTTTTCTGGGCTGATTATACACTTACAGCACTGCACCAAACAGTGGGTCAGCCAGGTTCACTTCTACCTAACTACTTACATAATTCAGACTTAATTTAAACACTGATATTAGAGGAACAAAGATCTTACACATCACTATCAATTGTTGCTTGATAGGGAACGAAAAAGTAAAAGAGGAGAACAGGAAAACTGACTCTAAGACATAGCTAGATGCAAATGTTATCCTCAAATTCTTCTGATTCATTTGTTGTGTGAAGATAGTGCTGCCTCAGCTTCAGGGCTGAAGAGATTTCTTTGCCAAACTTGTAAAGAAATCCCATTGCACTGGAGATTTTGCCTTGATATTGAAAAGAAAGAAAAAAGCCCTGTGTGGGGACGGGACACTCCAATAGTATATATACAAATGAAAGCCATAATACATTTCCTATAGCCAAGGAGAAAGCCATAACAGGGGAGAAGTCTTTAATCTGCTTTTTAGGGGAAGATTTTTGGTTTGGTTTGGTTTTTCTAATGAATACAACAAGCAGTCCTGATTTAAAGCAAAAATGCCAGCAGCACTGAAAGGGTTATTTCAAGCTGTTTATAATAAGCAAACCAGGACAGTGTTGGAGAAAGTTACAGAACTGTAATAACAGAACAGCAATCCGCCTGGAAACGGAAAAGGGTGGGTGAGCATTTCTACCGGACCAGGGCAAAAGCCAGGGTTTTATAAATTTAGAAAAAAAATACACACCCACACAAAACGTCTCAAGTAAGACGATAGAGGAGGAGGGGAAAAAAAGAAAGGGGGGGGAAAAAAAACCACACACACCATTTTACAAGGCCTTTATATAAATTTTGCCTAATCATTCTTAATGGACATCTGCCCATGGCTTAATACAGGAAGGACCAAGCTTTCAGTGTGTGCCAAACTGTCTGAAACACAAACCTCTGGCACGCTGCCTGCTTTGATCCCCCACTTGGGGCAGTTTCCTGGAGATAGGCTTGGAGCAAATGAACACAGACACATCACCCTTTGGGAGGGCCAGCCAAAAGAGTTAATGTAATGTAAAGTTCGGTATTGGACTTCACGGTACTCAAGTGCATTCTTTTCAGTTTACTTTAAATGATTTTTAGGTTTTAAACACAGAAGCAGCTGGGCAGAATTCAGTAATTAGTTTTGGTGTTAGAGAGAGGTCCTTACACAGGGTTAACACAACTACTGTGGCAAAAGAAATGCTTCAGTGGGAGGTGAAGGCTGCCCTGATTCACACAGATGGGCACGGGGACAACAGGTATTTATGTAACTCTGGCAAAGGGCTGGAGAGCATGAAGACCCCCTTTCAGATCAGTCCCCAGAACTCTGCCCATCTCAAAGGAAGGCTCATGAAGGAAATAAAAAATAGTAAGGGAAGATTGATGTTCTTGGCAAGAGCAGCGAGCAGGTAATTTAGAGCAGGCACTGCCCCTTCAGCCCAAGAACAGGAAAGAACTGTATGAGTTACCAACATGCTCCACCCAACAAGTCCCAGCCGGTATAAAAGTCTCTGCTGCAAAATTTAGCTAATGATACAATCCAGGAGAAGTCTGGAAGTACCACAGAGGGAGAACAGGAGAGATATTTCTGAGAAAGAGCCTTTAGCTAAAATTAAACACGATCAGGCACATACAAATCCCTGAAGCATAAAAACAAGCAGAAAGAAAACCTCACTGTTTTTCGACGGTACAACTGGCTTCTTTCCTTTTATTCTTTTTTAATTTAGTCAAGTGTTCTTATACTAAGGTGCTAAAAGTTACAAACAATTTTTCAACGTAAAATAAAGTTTAAAGCCAGATTGGTTTTGTTAATAATGAAACAGTACCCAGATTCCAATACAAAAACCTCATATCCAACAAGTAAAACTTCTTTTATAGAGAACCCTTAAGAAAATAAAGGAAGGAAAGTTCTTCAAACACTAAAAAATGGCTGTAATTTTGGTCAAATACAGAACAAATCATTAAAAAACAAGAGGTATCAGGAAATACAACTGGATAACACACAAGTTTTATAAAAGAGATCACATGCCATATATAGGTGAGTACAACAGCTATACAGTATGTGCTCAGTCACTATAACATTTTAAATTTGAAACAAATAAAAAGTGCCAGGCCCTCACTCTGATTCTCCTTTTAAAGTTGATAATGAACTTGGTCTTGCACATTCTCCCCAGCATCCTCAAAGATTCATTCATGTCTTCCATTACCTCCCTGGCTTCTGCATGGACACACTGAAGGGACTCTGAGATGCCCCTCTCACAGGAGGGTAAAGGAAATTTAATTCAATCCCAAATTCAGACTGCTGATAGAGATGCTTACTGGCAAGTATTATAAATTAAATTATTTATTCAAGGAATTTAACATTTACAGCTGTAAATGAGGACAAATCTGGCAGCCAGTAAGTTGTACTTTTGCACTTCCTAATTCAGAAGGGTCTGTGCAAAAGTAATCTAAAATGCTTTCTTGGTAAGGGACACACTGATGAACTCTGTACTTCAGTATCCAGAACAAATCTCAACAAAGGAACACTTCTGCACCCATGGAATTCAGTTAGCTTTGACCTAAGGAATTGTGTGGCAACTGGGGGTGGGACACCAAGTGTAAAACCAACACATTCATTACAGGAAAACAACTCCAATCAGAAGCTTTAAGCTCATCTATCAGTTGCTGACTGATATGAAAAGAGGACTAAGTGGAAACTTGAGTATATCAGGAATAAATTCTGATCATAAAGAAGATCATCGTGCATTTATAGAGTTACTTATCAGACATCCTTTATGCTTTACCTTCAGAGAGAAGCAAACTGACTGTCTCAAAAGAAATAAACAAAATATTATTTTTGCAGATTATTCTGTACTTCACATTTTTGGACCTAATGAAACAGCTGCTCTGAAGCACTAAGTGAAAAATACTTTGTGTGTCAGTGGCAAAGGGAGCAACGTAAATCATTTGAA